GGTATGATTAAGTATCTGATCATTGCTAATAAAATCAGTGTTGCCAGATTCAGCCACAAAATTCCAGGTCTTCTCTCCATCTTTAATCTCTTCTCTGCATTTGCAGACTGCAAGAGCACTCACTCTCTGAATGGAAATAAACATACAGATTCAGGCCATTGTATGCCTAAAATCCAGCCGCTCCATTTTATCCAATGTAACCCAAAATATGGATATTTTTAAAAATTATAGCCCTGTGCTGACTTCTAGACTGCAATGAGAGAAAAGAGGCAGAAGGCTGCAACAGACAACTTGGGAACAAGTATAATGGGTTCAGCATGTGTTAAGGCAAGATCACAAGGACTGGATAAGGTTACTACAGCTGTCCAAGTCCTGGAGGTGTGCTGGCTGGGTTGGTGGTACAAATCTTCCTTGGTAAGAGGTATAGAAAACACTGCCCAAATCCTATCTAGGCAAAATTTTAGCACTGGTATTTAAGCAAGAGTTGAGAGAATTACATTAAGAGCCAGGACTGGATTTAAAAAGCCTCCTTAAACTTCAGCACTATAGTTTTGGTTTGGTTTTGTTTGTTGGTTTGTTTTTTTTTTAAGAAAGCATCATTGCTATGAAAAATAAGTCAGACCACGACTGTGCAGGCAGGGAGAGGCACTGTGAAATAGCGAGTGTAGGAGGCCACAGGGATCTGGAGATGGGCAGGGGAGAAACCCCCTGCGCCCATATCTGGGCAGGAAGGCAGAAGGCCCCTATGCCATTCAGTGTGGGAGCAGAGAGGCTGCCTGGAGCAGCCACACGCCACCCGTGCCACACACTTTGCACATGGGTCAGTTGCCGGTGGGCAGCCTCTGTGAGCCACCACGTGCTGGTGTGTGTCCAGGTGTCCCAGGCGACACTTGGAGCCCCCCAGGGCTGGGATAGCATGGGAGTCCTCACTGAGACCGTAGCAGCTCAGATGAGAGGCTGCCAGAGCAGCACATTAGCAATGCCAGGATCCTTCAGGCTCCTTTGCTTGGAGCCTGGAGGAAACAGCCCTGTGCTGGCTGTATCCCTGGGTTTTGCTGGCTGCATAGTTGTCCTCCAACCTCACAGGCTGTGGGGCTGCAATCACAGGATCTGTGTGAAGGACTCAATCATGAAGGAGTTACAATTTGTCATGTATGTGCTGTACAAAGGAGACACATAATTTCAAGCTGAGCCCAACGGTTGTGTATTTGAAATGTGCCATTCTCCCTTGCCATGTGGATGTGCCAAGCAGGCGTCGCTCTAAATTAAATTTCATGGATATGATTGTACATAGTGAAGATTTTACTTCATCACCCTCCCAAAATAGCACACTTAAGGAACAAAATAGACATGAGATGTGAATCCAAACATCATGATGGCATGGCTGAAATGGTTATTCCGTCCAGGAAGGTGTCAGCAGAGCAGCATGATATCTGGCTGTCCCCGGAGCTCACTGTGTGGCCACATGTGCAGCACCATCTGAGGCTCCTGCACCCCCTTCCTCCTCCATGGGCTTCTCAGGACACATGCAGTGAGATCAGAAAGACTTATTCCCTGCAGGTGAACTGGAGATACAGGCAGCTGTCCTGCCCAAAAAGGAGCAGTGTGATGTTCTGGGCCCACATGCCCAGCTGTCCAGGGCTGCCCCTGCCCATTGGCAACTGATACAGGGTGACTCAGGGAAGGTCTCAGAAGTGTCGATGGTCTAGCAGGCAGCCAAGGCACTGGGAGAGCAGGGTATAAGCATGGGAAACCAGAAAATATCCTCCTTCTGCTATGAGGACAAGGACAGAGTCATAAGCAGTGAAGGAGGCACCAAGCAGTCCTGTTGGGCTTGTAAGGGTGCAAAGATGCTCACATTACCTCCTTGTTATGGAGATCTTCACAATATGTAACTCAAGGTCTCTCTAGGTTTGATTAGAAACAGATACCCCAAACTTTGCACTGAAACTTTGAGGCCATCTCCAGTTACAGGAAGTCTGGGTATATCCATATGCAGATGTATGCAATTTGTTTCACTTCAGCAGTTAGCATGGCTGTTTCGAGGTCAGGGAGCCTGTTCCTAGGGAATGAGAGTTACTTCTTGGGATGCTCAGCTGAGGGTGGATTCACACTAATCCCTCTCTACACCACCATCCATGCTCGTTGCCTCCTGCCCTCCATCCCACTGTTGCTGCCCCTCTCATGGAGACGGCTCATCCCTACCAGTGCCCGCAGGGGCTGGAGGTGAAGAAGCCCATGTCTGCTGTGGCCCAGGAACATGAGAGCAGCATGGCTGAGCCAGCAAGGAGGGCTCTGGGCTGGCAGGCATGGGAGCATCCACTGTGTGCGCAGTGGAGGCGCTTGCTTCCTTCTCAGGGCTGATAATGGCTTGCGGCAGAGACAACCATCGCTGCTGAAAGCCCTGGGCCCAGCTCCCAGCTGCAGTTAGAGCTACACAGTCAACGAAATTAGATCAGATCCAGAGCTCTGTGTGTGTGTGTGTGTGTGTGTGTGTGTGTGTTCGTGCAGACCCTTCTCCAGCCAACTGAGCTGCTCAAGCAGATATGACACAGCAGAGGAGTTCCCCAGGAAAGACCTCAGGTCTTTCATTTGCTGCTGCTGGAGTTGCTGGGAATCTGGTAGTTAGGGAGGCAGCCAGCACAAAGGCATGAGGGAAAAGGTACTGAGCTTCCTGATATCATAAATAATTAAAAAAGAAAGGAGGAAAAAGAATTCCTGGCATACATTTATTTATTCCTCCATCTCTACTGACCATCATAGGTGATAGTCCATTCCTGCAGACTTTCTGGAACTGTCTTATTAGCATCAGTTTCGAAAATAATAAATATCATGGCCACAGCATATGAGTTACCCAGACTGTGGTACAGGGCACTGTCCCAGCCCATTTTGGACGGCTTGTCCACTTGCATCCCCCAGGAGCAGCTCAGTGTGCTGGAGGGTGCAGGTGCAAAGAGGAAGCACGGTGGCAGTCACTGGCCTGGACACTGGCCCTGGCACCCAGGGAGTATAAATCTTGACAAAATTTTCCTAAGAATCAAAATGAAGAGAGTTGAGATTGATGACGTTAGTCTTTGCTGTGTTTTACAGGGAGCTTCTCAAAAGCCTGGGGAAGTAGTACTTGGGAAAGCAATAAATCTGAAACCACAGTAGGGTGGCAGAGGCAGATAGCTCCTGTGTCTCCAGTGCCTTCATCTCAGTCCTGCCCTCGACTCCTTTGTACCAACTGGGCAATTTTTTTCTCAAAACTCTTTCACAGCTCATCCTCCCAAGCTTAAACCTGGGCATTCCTTACCCTCATGGCCAAGGGTGACAGCTACATTTCATCCTCCTGTTTCTATCCCAGTCACCTCAACAGTCTTTCAGCTGTGAGAGTGAGAAAAGGGTGAGAATACGTACACCTTCTCACAAGCTTGCTCACAGGCTATTGGCTGTGAAACCATGGCCTTCACAACAGGGCAAAGCTGTAAATATACAGTGATATATACAGTGGAAGGATGTTGTAAGGAGGGATGAGTGCTGGAAAAAATGGGGATTTCTAAAGACATGGGCTAAGATGCCTGAGCTGACATTAATGACCCTGGATGACCTTGTGACCCTGGATATGACACTGCTAGAGGAAATGTCCTGGTGGGGACATCATAGATGGTGGAGATGTTTCCCAGAAAGATTGATCCTAAAGAACATTTAAAAATAGGCTAATACGAAATTTAAAAAAAAAAGATTAGCCAGTTGGTATGATTTTGGCCTGATAAGGAGAGCACGGATAAGAAGTACCACTACACCCTTTCCTTCCCAGACCTGTAGGAGCTAAGTGTAGGGGCTCAAGGTTAATTCCTGCAGTAGAGTTACCATGTTTTTTGTCCAAAGATCCAAGCCAGAAGTGTGGGCAGTTGTGGGCAGCTGTGACACATGCTGGGCGAGTCAGTCACTCACACAAATCCCTCTTTTTCTGGTCTGCTGACAGACCACTGCACAGAGTAGTGGCAGCAGGCAAGGGAAAGCCATGGCCACTTGCCATGGGTCCCCACCAGGGTCCTGCTGGGCTGGCAGCACTCTTGCTAATGAAGGAGACACCACTGTCACTGGAGGCAGGAGGTGGGCAAAGGAGATAGTGCCCCCATTGTAGTGCCTTTGCCCATGCATGAGGATTCATACATCCCATTAACAGAAGCTCAAAGGTGGTTTTACTTGCAGCTGCTAAGCCTTAGAGAGGAACCAGCTCACTGCAGTGCTTGAAACCTCCTGCTTCGCCATACTGCTCTCATATGCCGTGTTCCATTAATTACTCATTGCTCAGGGCAGTCAGGCAGGAACAGCATTCCCGGCTGCTGTCAGACTCCTCTCATTTCTGTCTGCCCCGTACACAGGCTGGGTCCCTCTGCCTCAGAGACCTCTCCTGTGGCCAGGACCAAGGAATGTAGTGCTCCGAGGGATTCACTTCCACTGTGGGTGGTGGGATGGTGAAGGAGCATCTTGCTGGGATGTGTGCATGTGAGCATGCTGGGCTCATCCCTTCACCTGGCTTTTGGAGAGGGACTGGGAGGAGCTGGCAGAACTTGTCCCAGTCTCCCCTTCCCCGTCTGTTCTGGCATCTGTGGGCTGCAATCAGCCTCCCTGCCATGACAGCCACCTCCTCCTCTGAATACAGCCCAGCCAGGTGCCTATGCCACCCCTGAGCTGAGCTCCAGCACCCTCCACGGCCGAGGTTGGCAGCTCTTCTACACGCAGGGCAGCCCTCCACCTCTGCCTGTGGTGCTGTCAGCCCCTCTGTCTGCGTTTGGGGACTGCTGCCCAACTGCCACGGCTAGCTCCAATTGGTTGAACTAATTAATTGGTCAAAAGATTCACATCAGTTGCCTTCTCCTTCTCTCCTTCTCTCCTCCTCTCCTCCTCTCCTCCTCTCCTCCTCTCCTCCTCTCCTCTCTCTCCGTCCCTCCCTCTCTCCACCTTGCTAAAACCTGCTCCCCGCTCACCTACCCACACTCCCGCCAAAATAGGTAAAGACAGCAGTTTGGGAGAGGCTGAGTTGCAGCCAAGCTCCGACCCATCGGGGATGGACAGCAGCTACCTCAGCGTGAAGGAGGCTGGAGTAAAAGTGCCCCAGGACAGGGCCAGCACGGACCTCCCCAGCCCCATGGACAAGGCTGACTCAGAGAGCAACAAAGGCAAAAAACGGAGGAACCGCACCACCTTCACTAGTTACCAGCTGGAGGAGCTGGAGAAGGTCTTCCAGAAGACCCACTACCCAGATGTCTATGCCAGGGAGCAGCTAGCCATGAGGACAGACCTCACCGAGGCTCGTGTACAGGTAATGGGGATGATGTGGGGCTGAGCGAGGGGTGCGGGAGCTGCAAACAACCCCCTGCTCTCTGGGGAATGGAGCCATGAGTCCTGCAAACGTGTTGTCCCTTGCTGTGCCTGAGGCCCCTGCAGCCCTAGACAGCCTGCAGGCAGCCAAATCCTACCCAGAGCCCATGCTGCAGGCTGGCACACCTCTCCAGCAGGGTTAGGACAGGGAGATACATCCATGTCTGACACTGGTGTCAGCTCCTTTGTCTGGGCTGGCCTCCTGAAGCTTCAGTGTCCACAGAGATGCCTCTTGTCCTTGAGCTATTTGGGCAGCAGGCAGGTAAGCCTCACCACCACCACTCTAAACAAAGCTATTAGAAGTACTGCCTTCTTCAGGAGCCTCAGCAGGGAACACTGAGTAGTAGAACTACACTGAGTAGAACTGAGTAGAAGCAAGTTTTTCCACAACATGGGCTGTTTCTGGCAGGATGGGGATACAGGGGTGACCAGGACATTCAGTACCAGAGAGCGTGAGGTGATACAGGAGTGGCAGCTCTTGTTGCCTGCTTGGCTGAGCAGGCGCCGAGACTGCACAAAGCTGTGCTGTGGTCTCACTGCCTCCATCCACACAGGTGCCAGCTCCCATGAACTAGCTCCCCTGAGCTGCCCTGGGGGTCCAGCAGAGCCAAACCCCACACTGAAGGAGTGAATGATTCTCTGAGTGCTGCTCTTTCCTGTGAGTGAAGGTTAAACCGACGGCCTGGCAGGGCTCAAGAAGCATGTGCAAAAAGGAGCACCATAACTTGGGGTGGACATCCACAGCTCATGCCTTGATGGCCATCAAAGGCTCCGCTGAAGCTTAGGCTCTCATCCTCCATTAGTCTACCTAATCCTGTGACTTCCATCTGCAGGCATTTATCAGCTCACTACTCCAAGAACCTACATTAGCATCAGGAATAGCTGGCCTGTGGAGACATCTGGCTGTATCTCTTATTCCAGAAAGATGCTCAGGTCCCAGGCAGCCCTGTTTTCCCTCTGCTCTAACCTTTACCAGTAGTTGTTGTAAACAGTTGAAGCAGTCAGGCCAGCATCCTTGCATGTCCGTTTTAGTCTGTACATTTACTTCCAGTTTCAACTAGCTGCAGGATTTTTCTTGTCTGTTTGCCTAAATTGGTTTGCAGGGCTGGTGCGCTTTTCCTCCCCACAGCTGTTTCTCTTCAGGCTGGACACAGCTGCGTTCCAGTAGAAAGCAGTGTGATTCCTGTTGGTCCCATGCATGGCGTCCCGAGCCACTGGATATCAGTGTGGTCAAGGGCAGAAGCACCTCCCTAGGCAGCCAGAAGGAATTCTGGCAGCGGAAGGGTGCAGCCAGGGGGTTTCACTCTGCCTTGAGATAAGCAGCCCACTGCCATGGGCAGCCCAGAGCAGCCTGTCTCCTCTCATGACCGCCAGCTTGCACCACTCACTTCAGATGATGATGACAGGGCTCATGTAACGGAGCAGCTGAAGGACTTGTCTAAGTGGCCTGGCTGCTTGAGCACTTACCCTGGGTTGAAAGGGGTAAGCACTTGCATTTCACTTACTCCCCCAGCCCCACTGGGAAAGACCTCACCCCTCGGGCTGCAGGCTGGCACCCAGCCACTGTTCCGTGATGGAGGGCTGCCATCAGTAGAATTGCAGACTCCCTGTCACTGGGGAGTGAGAGCCACCGGGCTGGTGCTGAACGCTGTGGGTGCTGGCTCAGGGGCATCCCAGGTGCCAGGTATTTCATGTAGGTTTCCAGGGTGCTGAGGCTGCTGGCTAATGAGGTGCTTCACCTTGCCATGGTGGTGGCAGCTCTGAGGAGGCATGGGGATGCAGCCTGGGGTGGCATGGGGCTCTTCTGCTCATGGCACAGGGCTGTGCATCCCACAAGGGAGGCTTTTGAGACCAAGGACTAAGTGACACCTAGACAACCCAATGCCTGTCTTCAGCCCTGGATTGTGTTATAGCTTGTTTAGGCTTGGTTTTGTCCTCCCACCCCTCTGGGCAGCTCTGCTCTGCAGGGGTCTCCCCATGCTAGCACTGCACCACCAAGGGCATCAGCTTAGAGCCTAAGAGTGGGCACAGGCATGGGGCAGCAGCCCAGAAGACCAGTGGCAAAGCAAACACCTGCTGCAAGGACCAAGGGCCCACCCAGGGCCAGGGCAGAGGGTGGAAATGCCCTTTACTTCTTTCTTTCTGCAAGCCAAATACTCAGATGCCCTCCCTCAAGCTGGCAGGGGCTCTGGATGCTGTGGGGTGTCTGGACACACACTTGTTGTGGCCCCATGGGCTTAAAGAGGAGCCCAACTGTCAGTTTCTCAAGGAAGTTATGATCCTCTATGGGATGGCAAGCAACCTGGGATAATTTCATAGAGGCCAGCTTCAGCTCTCTGTAAGGCTGAACTAAGCAAAGCAGAAAAGCAGGAAAGCGAGGTGCTCAGCAGGTTTGAGGTGTGATGCTTCCTCCCACAGCTGAGCCAGCTTTTGGCTAGACGTCGTCCCCTCTGGCCAGGCTTGGCTCCCTGGGGAGTGCAACCAGCCGCCACGCTGCAGGCAGGAGCAGATGTGGAGCCCAGACAGGCAAGTGGCAGCTCCGGGTTTTTCCATCCCTTTCCCAAGCTCACACTTCATTAGCGAAATAGCTGACAGAGACCTCAGAGACTGGAGAAGAGCTCATGCCAGTAGCGGGCATGGGGTGGGCCGTGCTGTCTGTGGAGCAGTGGCATCCCACAGCCTGGCCCCTGTCCTGCTCCAGTTCTCTGCCTGCTGAGGTTTCCAGCCATCAGTGCTGGTGTTTGACATCAAACCTAATTCCCCCTGTGATGCAATACACCGTTTTCCCTGCCTGCCCCCATGACCTGGCCCTTTGTTGCCAAATACTATTAAGCTACTGCACGTCCCTGTTTTCCGAAGCAGGAGCCGTGTGTAAACCCTGCACAGAGGCAGAGCCACCCAGACAGGGAGAGGCTGCTAGGGCTCAGAAACAAACCTGCAAGGATGTGCAGTGGGCACTGTTTTCGTGTAGGTCTTTCTTACACAGTGTGCATACCCCATTCCTTTCTCTTCCTCTTCCTCTTCCATGTCTGGGGCTGCAGAGCCCCAGAAAGAGCTCCTGCTTGGTACCAGCAGCTGCCTGAGCTTCTTCCAGCTCATCCAGGGCTGCTGCAGATGCCTGAGGTGGTGGCACTGGTAGACACACATGTATTCACATGTGGCTTCTTCCCCTTGCATGCACACACACATACATCCCCAGGCCCACGCCAGCCCAGCTGCTCATTTCTTTTAGGCTGTGAGTACCTCTGCTTCCTGGCCTGTCTTGTGGCGGAGGAGGAAGAGATGGGGCTGGGAGGAGGCTCCGTGGCCACGGAATATAGCCCCTCAGCCAGCCCCCCTCAGAGCCAGCCTTATGATTGCTGGGATCGCTAATGAAATGTTTTCAGCGGTGACCCTGTGATGCAGTGGGGGCTTGAAAGTGAGAGGGAAATGTCAAACTCTGCTGTAGCAAAATAACCGCCTTGGAAAAAAGAGAAAAGAAAAAAAGCAAAGCAAAGCAAGAAGTAATATATCTTGATCCCTTTTCCCCCATAAAACCCTGGGAGGCTGGTGGAAGGAGCGGAAAGACTGAGCTAAGCCTGCAGGAAATTAAACATGAAATGAAAACAAGCTCAAGTTATTCAATTCTCTCATCCCAGGCTCCAATTTCCCATTCCAGGCCACTGATAAAATGGTGTCCAGTTTCAGTGCTCAAGGATGAATTCTGGCTCTGTTCTTGCAGGCTGGAAAGCAGAGGGCTGGTGGCCGTCTCCGGGAAGAGGAGAGATGGCCTGGCCTTTAGGAGAGGGATGGGGTCCTGGAGACAGACAGATGGACAGACAGATAGACAGAGAGATGGAGGCTGAATAGAGGGAGGAGGGGAGTAGGGCCAAAGGACAGAGATAGGCAGAACAGATGCTGGGAGGCTGCCAGGGGAGACCAGGAGCAGGAGGCTCGAAGGTGGTGGGCAGCTCTCGCCCACAGCTGGGCAGTGACATAATGAGGGAGGCTTGGGACAGGGCATGGGACACCGGGGTGGATCCGGCCCTGCAGCTGCCACCAGCCCCCCATCCTGTACACAAGGGCCTGCCTCACCCTCCATCACTGCGCTGGGGTGGGGAGGAGAGAGGGGAAATCACCTTTTGCTTTAACTTGGAGGAAAGATTAACCCAGTGATGCAGTCCCCAAACATCCAGCCACAGCGAGAGGGGCCTGAGTGAGGCCCCAGCTCAGTCCATCCACCTGTGCTCTCTGGGGGCACATGGGGCTTGGTGGCAGGGGCAGCCCAGCAGTGCCGGCTGGGTGCCAGGGTAATGGCAGTGAGACAGAGGGCAGGAGCCTCCTGCTTGCTTTTGTCTCAGGCCGTTCCTGGCCTCTCCACCCCACACAGCACATCAGCTGTGTATGCATATGGATTTAGGTACCAGCATATGGCTGAATGTTTATGGAGACATGAAACATTTTCTGTTCTGTAGATTTTTATAGGGCTGATTTGATACATCAGGGCTTATCAAAGCATTGTCTGCAGGAGTCAGATACATAACATTACCCTACACTCCCACTCTAATTGTTAACACTGAGATGCAGCCCACAGTGACTGCTCATCCCTGCATGAAGTCCTCCATCCTGACCCTGGAGGACATCCTGCACCAACTGCTGCAACCTTGACTGTCACATCCGTGTCTCACAGCATCCTCACGATGAAAGGTGACAGGCAATGGAAGGAAAATGGACTTCTGTTGGGTTTTAGATTTGCTTTTTAAAAACAGGTGTTTTCTAAGATTGAGGAAGCCAGTCCCTGAAGCAACCCAACTGCAAGGTACCAAGCAGTCTAAAAGAACTTGGTCCAGAGGAGAAAGGAGAAGTTTAACAAGTGGTCCAAACCTTGTCACAAGCATTTCAGAGCAGTGGCTCATTGCCAGCCCTTGGAGCATCTCCAGTGACCCTGGCACCAGCACTTGGACTGGAGACACACTTACTTTCAGCCTAACGTGAAGGTTTGCCACAGCCTCCCAGCCCATCAATTTGGTAACTGCCAGTTTAAACAGGTTTGCTCTGCCAGTGCCAGTTAAATCCAATGTATAAATGAGGAGCAGCAGAGGAAAAGCTTGTGCTGGAGACCCTGTTTCACCTTGTCTGGCCCTGGGAAACCTCCCTGCAGCCCCAGCAGGGCATCCTGGGGAAGCTGAGCACACAAATGCCACACTGACAGCTTTAGAGGTTGTGCTGCAGAGCCAAGCATGGCCACAGGAGTCTGTGCTCAGCTGCCCTACTGCTGGGCAGGCACCCCTGCCTGTGCTCAGGTGGGCTCCCATGCATAGCAGTGCAGGTGTGCAGCTGGGCTAGTGGGCAGGCCCAGCCGATGCCTTCGCCAGGCAGAGGAATGGCCGCATATGCCTGGCATATGTTCGCCCCAGCCTTGCGCACAGCCAGCGCTCTGCTCCCTACCTGCTCTCCGTCCCTCTGTGCACAGCGGGGCCTCCTCCGCCTGAGGAACCGGGTCACCACCGCTAACTTTGAATCTGCAGATCAAAGCAGCATGATCTGGGCCAGCCCTGGGACTGGCCTGCAGCTGGGCTGGAGCAGCTGTGCCAAGAAGAGGTAGAAGAAAAGCAGACAGATGCCTGGGGCATCAAACCTGCTCCAGTAGTATGCTCTTCATGTGCTGCATGTGCTCAGCTGGGGCAACGTTAGGTGGTTTTTGCACCCACTGAAAATCCTCATAGGGTTTTTGATTCAGGCTGGGGAGGTTAATATCAGGTTGCTGCTTTGGGTATGGCTAGTCTGGCCAGCTTGTGAATGGTTCATGCCAGTGGCATGAGGCTGCCTGCATGGTGGTGGTGGGGAAACTGAGGCAGGAGAGGCTGAAACAACTCTTCCAGCACAAGCAAGAAGGTCAGCTCAGACCAGAAACCACAGGCCCACCTCTCCCTGTGGCAGCTTCTAGCAGTGCTGACGCAGGCTGCAAATGCCACCACTCTTCTGTCCCCCTGAAAGCTGGCCTGCCCCCCCACCCTGTGCTGAACACCCGGCTCGTCCCGCTCTCCTCCAAAGACATGAGCTTCCCACCCAGCGTCTGGTTTCCCCAGCTGCCTGCCAAGCAGCAGAGCTGCCCCACGGCCAGGCGCAGGCAGGGCCAAGCTGTTCATCAGGGATGCCCCCCGCCTCCATGAGTCACCGTGTAAAACTCAAAGCAGAAGCGAGCGGCTCTGGGACTGCTCCTTTCATGCACTGGCGTGACCTGCACAACCCAGCCCCTGGTGATTGCCTGCATCTCTCAGTGCCTTCAAAGCAGCTCTTGATTGATGTGTTGCCCTGACTCACAAGCTTCAAGAGGCTTTGAAGACACTGGGCCAGGCTCTGATCTCTCTTATGCTGATGCAAATCAGGAGCAATGGTGCTGACAACAGTGCAATAATCCACACTGATGTCAAGCCAGTAAAAATAAGAGCAGAAACAGAGTTTTGGTCTTTCCACTGCCTTGAAGGGATCTGAGCAGTACTGTGAAGCAGAGAGCTGCAAACCGTGCCGTGAAAACTTGGTGTAAAGCAGAGGACACGTAACTCTGTAGAGGGCACCTGTCCTTTCCTGCAGCTAAGGAGGGAAGGGGTGTTACGTTGTTTGGGGCTTTTTTTAACAGTTAAGCAAAATAAGACTGAGAGTTCAATGAGAAATGCAGCTTTCAGCCAGTGAGCCCATCATACTTAGGATTAGGCTTGGGGAAAGCCCCAGAGCTGCTGGTTTCAGCCTGACAGCAGCACACATAGATGTATTCACACTCTTGTCTGAGGCTGGCATTAGGGACAAAGAAGAAGATGAGTTATCCCAGGGCAAACCAGGCTGTGGGAGGCAAGAGCTATGAATGTCCCTAGGCAGGCAGAACACCAAAAAGCTGGACATTGTCTTTTGCTTGGGGTGCTTCCAGGCTGGGAGTCCCGGCCAGTCCTAGACCACCTGGGGACACAGGGCAGGATGACCACTCCCCACACAATGCACAACCACCTGTCCTGCGAAGCCCTGCCTGCCTGTGGGCTCCCCATGGCTACCAGGCTCCCAGCAGCTGCTGGCCCCCCTGCTCACAGCCCTGCTGTCACCTCCTCCCCAGGTGTGGTTTCAGAACCGGCGAGCAAAATGGCGCAAGCGCGAGCGATTTGGCCAGATGCAGCAGGTCCGGACCCACTTCTCCACCGCCTACGAGCTGCCCCTGCTCACCCGTGCTGAGAACTACGCCCAGGTGAGCACATTCCCCCAGCCATGGTCCTTCTCTCCTGATGCCTGCTGGACTCACCACCTCAGCCCCAATTCCCCCCCAAGTGATGCTTCGCTTCTCGGACTCATCCACCTGCTCTCAGGCAACACTGTAAGAGCACGGGGGACAGGGCTGTATTGCCAAACGCTGAAGGGACAGGAGTTACTTAGCTGGGTGTCCTGCCCGGCTCCCTCATGCCCTGGCCTGGAGCCAGTCATCTCTAAAGCAGGCACTAAGCCCAGTCTTGCGTGACTTAGTGCAGCCACCCTTTGGGCACAGGTCATCCTGCTCAGCACATCCTATTACTCTGTCCTTCTCCCATCACGTAAGCTGCTGCCCATTAACTTACCACTGGTTTGGGAAAGGTCCAAATGGCTATATCATGGGTAAAAATCCAGCAGTTCCCAAGAAGGCTTCTTGTTGCCATGCCTAGGTTTTCATGCCTCTTCTCTAGGCAGTTGGACAGAAGCATTTTCCCCCTGGCAAATTCACAGAATCACACAGAATCACAGAACGTTAGGGATTGGAAGGGACCTCAAAAGATCATAAATTCCCACAGCCATCTCCCAGCGGTGGGCTGTGGTATCCACAGCACACTCAGTGATGTCTGGGGATGCTTCCCAAGGGGCTTGTGGGTTTGTGCTCCAAAGGAAGGGTGGAAGCAGCCTTGTTGGGGTAGCTAGGGCTGCTCCCAGGGTCTGTCGAGACCATTGCTGCCCTGGCCCAGGAGGCAGGTGACACAGCTGCCTCCCTACCTCAGCTTCCTGTCCTGGCAAACTTGTCACCACAGTAGCCTTGGGCCAGCCCCTGTTTCACAACACTCCCTTCGACGCTGCCAGGGCAGATGGGCATTTGTTAGCTTGAGGGCCCCTGCAAAACATTCCCTCCATCCTGCAGACTTCTCTTCCTGCTGCCCAGAATTTGCTGGAGGGCGCAGTTCTGCAGGTGTGATGCTCTGAATGCTACTTGTCCCCACAGATCTGCTGGGAGTCCTCCCCCTGTGATGCCCCAGCCGTCAGACACCTCCCCAGCCAGTGCCACACCAAATCTCCCCCGCAGCCAAGAGCGTTTGACCTCTCTCTTGCTTGGCATCTCCCCCAGACTGAACAAGAAGCCCTTATGAGAAAGCTGAGAGATGCCAAAGCAGCTTTTCAAGCAGAGACACTCTCAGCAGCCTTTTCAGCACCCCATTCTCTTGCCTTTGTAACTTATACTTTTCCCTCCCTCCATACTGCCCTCCTCTCCCAGCCCTAGAGATCAAAAAAATGAAAAGCAATTTGCGGGAGGTAAGAGATCAGAGAGGGCCCAAGAGCGAGCAGTGTAGCAGGGTGGTGGGATGAAGAGCCCTTTGCTCTCCTGCTGCAGCCAGCTGCTCGCCTCCTCCCTGCTTTCATCCTGCGTGCCTGTGCCCCCCCACCACAGCTCACCTACTCCTGCTGGCAAATACTGAGCCCCTCTCTTCTTCTGCAATATCGTGTAGCGAGTGACGCTGCAGGAGCCCAGACAGATACACAGGGCAGCTCTGCAGGGCCCTGCTCTGCAGTAGGGCAGGCAACGCCTCTGTGACGGGCAGCGAGCACCACTGGCGAGAGGGGCAGGGAAACAGCCTGTAGTGGGGGCTGTGGGCAGCTCAGCTCCAACAGGCACATCTGCATGGCATGAAAAAGTCTTTGCTTAGGCAAAGCTGCCCCGAGCTGGGGCAGGAGGGCAGATCAGCAGTTGCACAGCATCCCTTTTTGTCTGTTCCTTCCATAGGGGGTAGGCCCACAGGTGACATAAAGTTTTTGGTGCTGAGAGCATCCCTGCTCCAAAAAGTGCTCATGGGTCATAAAAATAAAAGAGGAATAGCTGGGAGGGGGAACAGATGGACAGAGAGACACTATGGCAGAGGAGGGGCACAGTCCTGCCCCCCTGTGAGTTAGTCTTGCACACTCCCTGCCCTTGTTGAGGCTGGCACACGGATTTTGGAGGGGACTCACTGGCTCTGGGGATGCTGTGGATGCTGCTGCTGACGGAGATCAACATACCACATCCCACCACACCAGCTGCCCCTTGCTCACAGGGCTGCCCTGTGGGGCAGCGGCAGGGCCTAATGCCGGACACGGTCTCTCCTCCCAGGCCAGCTGCCGGCCACATCCCACATACGGCAGTCCTGATGCTTCTTTTCCTACCCCCAGATCCAGAACCCCTCTTGGATCGGCAACAACGGAGCCGCCTCTCCTGTGCCCGCCTGCGTCGTCCCCTGCGAGACGGTGCCCTCCTGCATGTCCCCCCATGCTCACCCCCACGCGGCCAGCGGTGTCTCTGAGTTCCTCGGTGTCTCAGGCCCTGGCAGCCACGTGGGACAGACTCACATGGGTGGCCTCTTCGGCACGGCCGGGATGAGCCCCGGCCTCAATGGCTATGAGCTGAACAGCGAGCCGGACCGCAAGACCTCCAGCATCGCTGCCCTGAGGATGAAAGCAAAGGAGCACAGCGCCGCTATCTCCTGGGCGACATGACAGGGTTGCAGTGCAGCGCCCACGAAACATGGAGAGAGCACATGGGGACAGCCGAATAAATCCATCCACTTGGACTCCAGACAGCAGTTGCCTCCTCGGGGATCTGAATGCAGCACTTTTAGCTACCCTAGGCATATAAAGTACATATGTTAACGTAAGTGGAATGTTTCCAGCATGAACGTGGCAGCTCCCAGCTGCCTGGGATCACGCAGGGAGAGGGAGGCTGTGGAGCAGCACCTCTTCCAGTGAGATCTGGGTTGGGATGCATCCCCTCTCACCACCATCTCCCCGATAACCTGGGCATTTTTTCTCCCCACTCCTTTTTCTGACACCAGATCTGCCTTTCCAAAGAGCAAGAGCCCATTAGCACTTCAGCGGCTTCCCCCATCTTGTCACCTCCCCATACACACACACACACACACACACACACACACAAAACTTTCCCACCTAATTTGTCAACAGTGTTGCTCAGATCTGTTCTGCCCTGGGCAGGGGACTGGATGGGGACTCTGGCACCAGCAAAGAGACGCCTCTCAGGCTGCTCCTGTCCTCTTAGCAGCAGCCATGACTTCCCGTAGCTGTACAGGGAACAGGGCTGGGAAGATACCCAAGGTTAGCAAAAAGGCAATGCTATCCTGTCTCTTTCTACCCTATTTCGTCTCCATCCTGCAGTCTGAGGTGAAGCACGGAGCCGTAGAGGCCTGTGAAGGGAATGCCTCTCTTCCCAGCACAGCATGGTGCCACCATGCTCTCTGGTCACCAGACACACAATAGCTTCCCAGCACAGCTCCTGCCCTAGGGAGCACCTGGGGTTTGCTTTGCCGTGGTCGTGGGTAATGTTGAGCCTCATGTGCATGGTGGGGCAGAAAAATGTTTCCTCTGGCTTTCACTGGGTCGGGAATTACTATCCTCAGTTTAGAGACAGCAGCTATGGGAAGGGTTGCTGTGTAAATCCACAGGTCCCCAAAGAGACTGCTTTGAGAAACAGCTCAAGCGCTAGCATGCAGCCACGGTTGCATGAGGCCATCAAATTCCTCACACCCCTTGTCCTGGGGTCAGATCTGTGCAATGACAGCACCTCTCTGCAGCCCTCCACCCCAGGGCCCTGCTGCATGCAGCTGCTGTGGGCATCTTCGCACAGGGGATGGCCCAAGGAGCAGGCTGCGAAGGGACCTGAGGCTGGACAAGGCAACGCTGCCCCATCTCCAGCCACCTTGGATCCTCTTCACCTTGCGCAGAAAGGAGACACCAGAACTTGCTTGATTTGTCTAAGCCAATATGCCTCCTCGCGCTCCTACCCACACAGCGCTAACTGATCTTCTTAGGAAGATCTCCTTCCTAAGGCTAAAACTTTTACAAGCTTTTCAAGGATCTCGTAGTGCTAGGAATAATTTTGGAACATCCTTTTACCCCACTGAAGGAGAAGCTGAAGGTCAAATGAGCACTATCACCCACGCAGCATGGCTATGTAGGCTCAGCTTGAGCTAGGGCAGCTGTCTCTGGGATTCCCAAGGGAACTACAGGATTCTGCTCCCCTAAAAATTTGTGTGTCACCCTGCTCTCCCTCCTCACGCTCACTGCTGAGGGATCTTGTAGTTCAAGGCCCAGGAATATTTAGCAGTCTTGAAAAAGGCTCCAAATAAGCTACTACCAAATGTTGAGTTTCAGGTTAACAAAGTATAAAAGTATTTCTATAGCGCTTAGACTGCCATACACTACATAAATAATACACCACTGCTAGATCAAATGTAATACGTATTTATTGGAACAAGAAAAGACCAGTAGCACTGTCTCTTTTCTCTCCTTAGAAATGCTAGGACATGTCTGCCTTGGTACTCACAGAGATCCAGCATGCATTTAACCACACCATGTGTATGACCAGGGCCTCTCCCATCACAAGCGGCCAGGACTTATGTCCCAGCCTAAACATTCAGCTGAGCATTCGGGCATGGTGCTAAAAGTGATGCTGATGACTCAACTAGACAGGATCACTCTGACCGGTTGGAGGTGTGCGTCCCCCCACTGGGCACCGCAGAAGCCACTGAGGGTCCACAGGCCCCAGACAGCCCAGCGACAAGGCAAATTAGCAACAGGCAGAGCTGAGGAGTGGGGGGTGGGCCAGGCAGGCACACAGGGACGGGTCCCACGGGGCCTGCAGGTACCGAAGGTGGCTCCAATGGAGGGCTGCAGCCATTCTAGAGGTTAGCTGCATTCCCTGCTGAAGTTAAAGGGTAGCTTTTCCTCATGGACTTCCATGGGGCCAGGATTTCACCCGAGCTGTTTAACAGCCCAGAGGATTAAGTGCTGTATCCCTTGTCTTGTTAGAGAGAGGACAGACTCCTGGCAGCAGACTTGGCATTTACAAAGGCTTGGCCCCTGCTTTCTCTCACCTTAAATCCATGTGCAAAGCACATGTTGGGCTCACTCAATCTATTTTAAACGCTATCACACGTGCCCAGCCCTGAGCCTGCCTGAAAGCATCACGAGGCCAGGGGGAATGTTGTTCCCCGAGCCCTTTGCCACAGGGCTTCCTTCCCCCCTGCTGCCACAGGGCTCTGCCTTGCCTGTCCAGGTGCTGCTGTACCAGCACAGCCCCTTGTGCCCACATCTGTGGGTCACACTGGAAGGCTCTCCCCTCAGAAGCCTCCAAATGCAGGTATAAAGGCAGTTTTTAAGCTAAATGCATCTGTATCTACACACATTTAAAAAAATAATTTAAAAGTTTTTTTAAAAACTGTTAAATTAACAAGAAAAACTGTATAAA